ATGCTATACAAGATAAATGTTAATATATAGTTTTGTCAATTAAAAAAAAAAGGATTTAAGAAGAGGCCAGGCCAGCTATGGTGACTCGTGCTTGTAATCCCGCACTTTGGGAGGCCAAGGCGGGTGGATCACTTGAGCTTGATCCACTTTGGGAGGCCAAGGCGGGTGGATCACTTGAGCTTGAGTTTGAAACCAGCCTGGATAACATGGTGAAACTCCGTCTCTACAAAAAATACAAAAATTGGCCGGGCATGGTGTCATGCACCTGTAGTCCCAGCTACTTGGGAGGCTGAGGTGGGAGGATCTCTTGAGCCCAGGAGGCATAAGTTGCAGTGAGTTGTGTTCGTGCCATTGCACTCCAGCCTGGGTGACACTCCAGCCTTTTGAGACTCTGTCTCAAAAAAGAGAAGACACACCCTAGATCTCCATCCTTCTCTCTCTACCATGTGAGGATGGTGGGAAGGCAGCCATCTGCAAGCCAGGAGGAGAGCCTCAGCAGAAACCATCCTAGTACCCCGATCTTGGACTTTCAGCCTCCAGGACTCCGAAAACAGACTTTTGTTGGTTAGGCCAAAAAAGGAAAACGGAAAAAAATCTTGAAAGAAGGCACTTCAGTACTCTACAAAATTATTTCAAAGGACAGTTACATATGCAACCATATTCAGCAACAGCATTCCATAAAAATGTCTAATGTTTCTAAGCAACCAAAACTACCTTTTCCTATTAGGAAGATGCTATAAACATGAAGAAAATCTGATTGATATTTTAAAAGTTAAATAGCAACAAAATTTCAGCAACTTTTTTAGAATATTTCCATTTATTAAGAAAAAAATCACTCTATACAAAGATATTACAAATGTAATAAAGTATTCTGTATAACACACGGCATTTTGGCATTTTAAAAACAATTGCATCTTGGTACTAAACTTAACATTAAATAACTGAACAGTACCTGAGAACTTTAAAAAATCACTTTCATCAGTGCCTCCAAATTCATTTCAGTCATTAAGCATATACAAATACTCAGCAAAAAAAATAGGATTTTGGTATTCTGCTGGGATCTAGATTCATCACAGCCAAAGATATTTTAAGTACATACTTTTAAAACAGAAATCACTTCTAAAGGATTCACCTGGTCAAAACCATGCATTTAAGAATGCTGGTTACCCAAAAGTTTTGTGTTTTTCTTGCCACGTCATCTGAAAGCTACTTGAACTGTGAGACAGTGACCAACATTATCAGCTAATTACCCAGTAAAACTCAAGTGTATCACCAATGAAGTCTCATTAAACTAAATTCCACAAATGGATCCTCAAATATTCCAACCTTATCTATATTTTATTACATCTTATGGAAAACTATGTTTTGATTAGATAATAAAGTTTAACAGGAAAAATGGGCAAGATGAATGTTTGATACTTTTACCAAAAATTTATATTTCATTTACTTGCTGATTTCCCTGAAAACTCAATTTGTTGAAGAAGCAACATTCTGTACTAATTACTGTGTATTACTATTCACACACAGGTGTTTAATGAATTTGACTTGTAATTCTTTAAATTTTTGAAAGTCCAATAGTAAACTAAAGTTGTGGAAACAACTGATAAGAATATTAGAGGATGATAAATTCTACATCTTTAAATAGATAAGTACTAGCAGGTGGTATTTTCCTAAAGCCATAGACATTTAGAATAAATAGAGTGATTACTTTTTAAAACTTTGATCTGTATTTTGTTTATTAATAGGGCATGAGTGGTTTTGTCTGTGCTTTTTGCATGCATTACAAACATTACAGACATGATTACTTTTGAGATTCAATCTTACCCACTGTTAACCTTGTGCTTAACTAACTGCTAAGATGTATTAGTTAAAATATTAATTTGACTACGTCTCAGACAAAAAAGGCATAAAACTGGATACAGACAACCCATATATTTATCTCTGATTAGTCACCTATTTCTGGGCTTATAACAAATGATAAATGGCATGACATTTTCTATTACATGTGATATAAAAAGCATTACAATTTTTCCCCTTTTATAGTCAACATTTGAAAACAAAACAGATGAGAAACATTTCAGTGGCAACTTCATGAGCTATGAGATTCGTTTTTAGGAAAAGTCAAACCACTCCCAATTCATAATCAACTTTTACAAATAAACTAAGAGTCACAAAATTTCAGAACTGAAGTCATTAAAATTGGCCTTACCTTCACTAATCAATAGGAAATGTTTCTGGAAAAATAAGGCCAAAAGAAGGCTCTCCAAATCTGGGCAATAACTAGTCATTCTAATGAGAAGTTCATCTTAGGTTTCTTACTAAAGAACCTAATCCATAATGATCTTTCTCACTCTGTTGTGTATGAGATAACTAGAAGGAGTATCTGAATTAAAGATTAACCAGGACCATAGATATTGTTTTATTAACAATATTTGCATATACACCGTGGAATACTATGCAGCCATAAAAAAGGATGAGTTCGTGTCCTTTGTAGGGACATGGATGCAGCTGGAAACCATCATTCTCAGCAAACTATCGCAAGAACAGAAAACCAAACACTGCATGTTCTCACTCATAGAATTAGGGAATTGAACAATGAGATCACTTGGACACAGGAAGGGGAACATCACACATCAGGGCCTATTGTGCGGAGCAGGGAAGGGGGAGGGATAGCATTAGGAGATATACCTAATGTAAATGACAAGTTAATGGGTGCAGCACACCAACATGGCACATGTATACATATGTAACAAACCTGCATGTTGTACACATGTACCCTAGAACTTAAAGTATAATAAAAAAAAACCCCAATATTTGATTCGCACTACATAATTTACAGTGTATCTTACGTACCATTTTATTTAGTACAATACAACCTGTTAGGTAGCAGGCTGGGTATTACCTGACTAAAAAGTCCCTATTCTTTCCATTTCTCCATGCTACTTAATAGCATGTGGTGATCCTTCAAGAAATCAATTAAAGATATAACAAATTATTTGATGCCATTAGGCAGCCTGGATCACCAATTTCAAGTATTTTTTTTTTGAGACAGGGTCTTGCCCAGGCTGGAGTGCAGTGGCGTAATCGCTGCTCACTACAGACTCAACCTCCTGGGTTCAAGGGATTCTCCCACCTCAGCCTCCCTAATAGCTGGGACCACAGGCACATGTCACCATGCCAGGCTAATTTTTTTTTTTTGCAGAGACAGGTTTTCCTTATATTACCCAGGCTGGTCTTGAACTCCTGGGCTCAAGCAATCCCCCCACCTCGGCCTCCCAAAGTGCTGGGATTACAGGCGTGATCCATCCACCATGCCCAATGTCCAGCTCCATGTCTCTCTTAACATGGAAACTATCACAAGTTTTCCTGAAGTATTAGGTTAGACATTGATAACCCAGCTGTTTCTGTTCACTATGGTTGTGAGAGGCCCAGTTATTTAAAAGGTCATTAAGATTGAAAATAGATTTAGAGGTGTAGGTACAGATTGGGAAGGGGCATGAAGGAAATTTCGGGGTGGTTGGAAATGTCCTAAACATGGTGGTGACATGGGTGTTAACATACATAAAAATTAATTAAGCTGTACATTTAAAATTAGTCTCCTTTATGCATTTTACTCTACATGTGTTATCCTTGCAAAGAAAAAGACTGACATCTTTGAGAGCAAGAGTTTTTGTCTTATTCACCTCTGTATAATTTCCAACATGGGGCTTTGTACATTAGACATTCAAAACATGTTATACAAGATTGGTTGCATCAATACTGGAGTGTCTGTGTAAGGGTTAGGTGCTGAGGCTGAGAAGTATACGAGGGAGACTTGAGATTAAACCTGCCACATAAAGTGGAGAGAAGTAGCAAGGTCAGGACTACGAAATAATCCTAAAAACTTTAGAATTTCTACATAATACAGTTGACATTACTATTCTCAATAGAGCTGCTTTCAGTCTCAAAGGGCTGTGGTACGTGTGCGTGTGTGGGGTAAAAAAGGGAAGCAGCAGGTCAAGGAAGAGAAGTGTATTTCACAAGACTTAAGTAATCTTGTCATTGCTGCTTTTCCTGCCAGAAAATCATTACCTTTCCCTTTAAAAATCATTTCCATATACATTGCAATAATCGGTCCTATGTCAATTCCACCCTTCCTTCTCTAATAACAGTTACTATTTATTCAGCACCAACTAGTATACTAGGGACTATGCTGGGTGCTGGAGTCCCAATGACGAATGAGACAAACATTTAAATAAAAGGATGTCCATAATACAGGCATGTACAAAGCTTCACCTCAACTGAGGAGGCAGGACCAACCTTCATAGAGAAGCCCAGTCTTCAAGGATGAGTGTTCTAGTTCCAGAAGAGCAGAAGCAGAGTGGGTAACATGTTAAAGGTATGGAGGCCTGAAAGAATTGCCTTTTTTCAAGGAATGCTAACTATGTAATAAGGTATAGGGAGAACGTGGTATTTTAACTGGAACATATGGAAAAGATTATTACTAGGGAAAAAAGAATGAAGGCCTTTACTAAGAAAGCAGCAGGAATGAAGAAGGGACAGATGCAAGAGGAGACAAGCTCAAAAGGACTTGATGATTAAGTATGAGTGTGACAGAGAAAAAGAATACAATACTTTGAGGTCCTAGTAAGCTTCTTGGGTGGGTGGTAAATGGTAATGCCATTATGGAAGGTAAAGAAGAGAGGGAGCCAGTTTACCAGGGCATTCAGGTAGCATGAAAGAAAACTGAACCTGTGGGCTCTGATAAGATCATCCAGGGGGAAAAATAGCACCAACTGAGGGTAGAAGTCGAGACTCATGGGAAATAAATCTCAGGGAGGAATCTTGTCTACCACAGAAAACCCAGACGAGTATCCAAACAGGGTAGTATAGGAGGTTATAAATAGGTCAAGCAGTGTGAGGACAGATAAAAAGACACTAGACTTGACAAGACGGGTAGTCTCCGCTCATCTTTCCCAGAATATCCTAAGAAAATTGTAGGGGCTAAAGATAGAGATCACTGGGCTAAGGAATAACTGGGAAGGGAGAAAACGGAAGCTGGAGGCATTTCAGAAGTCAGGATGCAAAGGCATCCAGGTGGTAGGAAAGGTTTTATTTGGTCTTTCCTTTTAGGCTAATGAAGACATTTACCATGTTTATACAAATAAAGGAAGCACTAAGTGGTGATGTAAGGATAAACACGGCCTGGGAGAGAGAGGAGGGATCCAGTGCACAAGTAGAGTTCAGAAAAGTGCCATAGAAACTAAAAGTGGGTGTTAAAAGAGCAAGGGAAAGGATAAATACATGTAGAGATAGAGGAGAAATGTTGCCAAATTCATTTTAAATTAAAGTCTATGATCAAAAAATAGCACCTGAAAAATGAAAAATTCATTGGGAATATTCTAAACACAGTGTAGTAGAACCTTAATTCTGCTTATACTTACTTATACTAAGTAGCCAAAGCTTATTTAGTTTTAAAAAAATCCATATAGCTATTCTAACAGTCAGTGTTTAAACTGATTGGTGCTAATTAATCCAAAACTATGAGATTCTGTATTAAAAAAAAAACAACAAAAACCTCACCACCTATCCATCACCATCTAGAGCCATCCTGGGTTCATATTTTGAACAGAAAAGAAATTGTGCCTTCAGGTTTTTCTTTCTCCCTGGTAAGTTCTATTTATGTGCTTATGATTTTAAAAATTTATTTTAATTTATATTTTTAAATAAAAAATAAAAAATATTTTCTACCTTTTTTACTGAAGTCTATGATTCTTGTGAGATTTCACAACTGCTGCTCATGAAAAATTTATAATACAGAAATATTTCCTTTTGAAATAATAATTTCTGAGGAATATTAATGGTACTCTTAGGTTCTTTAATTCTTTTTGTTTTTCCTTCCTGAACCATCCTGACCCCAAGCCTTATCTTGCTCTCTTCCCTATTTCCCAGTATCATTTAACTGAGAATTTTTGTTTTTATGGCATTCATACATTCCTCAATTTGACCAAAACAACTAATTCATGTAAAGTTATGGTTTGGTTAGACATCGTGTAAGTAAAATGACAGACTGCTCCTTGCTAGGAAGACATTCAACATTTAGGGCAGGTTCTAGTTGTAGTAACAAACTAGGTCTTGAATAAGTTAATTACTTAGCATAATGATAATTCCATCACAATTAAGATTACTGCCCAACTTTAATCTGTAATAAAATATAATGATCTAATTAACCCTTACAATGTCTTTGAGAAATAAAAGGGCAAAATAAATAATTACATATCAAATGAAAACTCCTAAAATATAACTATGTTTTGAAGCACAAGTAAAAGGTTTCTAAATGCCAGAATTACCAAAAGTTAGGAAACAGAAAGGGCAAATAAAGTGTCATGTTACAGCTACAACAACTCAAATAAAGCATGCAGAAACAACTAGGAAACACTGAGAATTTTAAATCTGATGAAGGAGCCAGCAGAGATTACCCAGCATTCAGCTCACCATTTGAGACCAGTCAAATGAATATGTGACAAGTCTCTTTTAAAAATCTTGCACTTTGAAAAGGAAATGTGTTATAAGTGTTACTCAATCTGGAAGTTATGGTGAGCTTGACAATGTCAAAACATGGATTTAGAGATTCTCAATGAACAGATGTTTTACCTTCAATAAAATCTCCTTTCATAAAAGGAAAAAAAAGATTACCCAAATTCTACCATCATTTTGCCACTGGGATTATTTTCCTTTCGAACAATTTGGATGACCATTATTATTCCTGGACTTGAATGTACATGATTCTTATAAACCCAATGTCACACTAAGTAAAACTGCAAAAATCATATACGACTTATAATTAAAGTTACTATTTCTTTCAAAAACTAAAGTTCTATTAGTATTACTTTTAATGTTCAGTAAATATTTTCTGAGTGTTTAATATAAGGTAGCCATTTTTCTACAAATTGGAGATTCAACAATAAAGCACAAAAATTTCTGTCCTTAGAAAGTTAATATTTCAGTATGGGAAAACAAACAGTAAATGAATAAATGCTTAGTAAAGTCAGATCATGGTGAGTGCTATGGACATACATAAAGCAGGGGGGACAGCAAATGCTGATGTATATATTCAAGGAAGACCTGCTCAGGTAACAGTGGAGTGACACCTGAAGGATGTAAAAGAGTGAACTATGCATTTTTCTGGGAGAAGAACATTCAAGGCAGAGGGAATACAGAGAGTCCAAGGCATGTGCATACTTGATGCTTTGAGGAGCACTGAGGCCAAGGTGCCCGGAGCTGCATGATGAGGTGGGACATGGTAGTACCTGAAGTAGGACAGGGAGTCTAGGCCTGCAACTTTTAAGGACTTTGACTGCTCTGAGATGAGAAGCCACTGGATGGTTTTGAGCAGACGAATGGTAGGAGTTGACTTGTTTTAAAAATAATCATTCTGGCTACTTTATGGGGAACAGACTGTAGGGATGCAAGGATATAAGGAGAATTTTTGTAGATGATAGCTTCAATCCAGGAAAGAGATGATGGTGGCTTGGAATAGGGCGTTAATAGTAGAGATCAAAAGAAGTGGTCAGCTTTAGATATATTATGAAGGTAGGGTCTACTAGATTTGCTAATGGATTGGATATGGGATCTAAAAGAAGAATCAAGGATGACTTCAGGGTTTTTGGCCTGAGCAACTAGAAGTATGGCATTGCCATTTACTGAGTTGGGGAAGACTGAAGGAGAAGCAAGTTTGGGAGGGAAGACCAAGAATTCAGTTTCAGATACGCTGAGTGTGAGCTTTAATTAGATTTCTAGATAGAGATGTCAAACAGGCAGTTTTATGAGATCACGGGGAGTCAGAACATCTAAGAAAGGAGAATGGTCCAAGGAAACTTCTTCCCCTTAAAAAATATGAGTGTAAAGCTAAAATCATAAGCAACTTTTAAGGCATAGATTGAAATAGTATAAAATGTAGAAAACCTCCCATACCTTGAAAGCTCACTTCAACTGCCTTCTGCCCAACTTAACATTTTAAAGATATTTTGATATACATACAAATCTAAGAAGCCCCAAGAAGCCTAAGAAAACCCCTTAGGGGTTACCTTGGCCCATGGGCCTCAAAAATAAGAAATTAAGTTTTTCAATGGCATAGCCATTACAAGTTTTATCTTAAATTTGCTTGAAATTTAAGAATACATTAAAACATTATAAAAAGAAATATAAAAAAGCATTTTTTTTTTTTTTGAGACAGAGTCTCACTCTGAGTGCGGTGGTGTGATCTCAGCTCACTGCAACCTCCGCTTCCTGGGTTCAAGCAATTATTGTGCCTCAGCCTCCCAAGTAGCTGACAGTACAGGTCCGTACCACCATGCTCAGCTAATTTTTGTATTTTTAGTAGAGACAGGGTTTCACCATGTTGGCCAGGCTGGTCTCGAATTCCTGGTCTCAAGTGATCCACCCGCCTCGGCCTCCCAAAGTGCTAGGATTACAGGCGTGAGGTCCTGCACCTGGCCTCTGAGTTGTCCTTTTATGACAGCTTCCAATTTTGTATTCACTATGTCCAAAGTTGTATGCTTCTTCCCTGAAAAAAGTTTTTTATATTCTCAAATACAGTATTATTATTCTCAGTCAGTATTATATATACAGTATAAATACAGTATTATGTTCCCAGTTAGACAAATACAAAATGCTGCATCTATACAGGTGGTATCAAGATTTAAAAGGATTTAAATCTTGCAAGTTATACTTGAAAAAATTCATATGGAAAGGAGTCACTCAATTGCTCATTTTGCATACTGCCAATACCTGAATACTGACTATCTTGAACAAAACTATGACTGTTTGGATTAGTACTGTTTGATGGGCCCGACTCATTTATCATGCTGTTATCTGCACAATTGAAGTCAGATCCCTCAAATGCATCTGATTGTGAAACAAAAACAGTAGTATTGGAATTGGCACCTGTCGACATACTGGAAGAGGACATCTGATGGAGCTGTCTCAAGTCTCTTGGGTCTAACACTGAATTACATGAGGGGTTTTCAAGATTCATGCTCAGAAGTCTTGGATTATCCGTCTCTTCCATGCTATCATTGCTGGTTGTCATCATATTCACAGAACAATTAGACAGCATGTTGTGATCAGAAATACCATATAAGTCTGCTGGTGGCATGGATGACGCTTCCATTCCAACTATGTCATCGGCATTGTTATAAATGCAAGCGTTAGAAGCATTTAAATCATTCCCAATAGGTATTCTCAGGAATGGAGGGATACCTTGCGAATTAGAAGGAAGTGTCCCTGTTGAAAAACTACTCAGTGGGTTTGTATTGCCTGAGCGTGGGGTGGGGTGGGCCACTGATGACCAGCTTGAAGAAGGAAGAGGTGTCATTGAGGCATGATGTGACAATCCACTTGAGATGGGCCCAGGTGAGGGATAGTAGGATTCTGCTTGACTTGAAACCCCTGTAGGCATTTCTCTCACAACTGCATCATGAGAAAACAAGTTTGGTTCTGTGGGAGGAAAAATTTGTTTTACAAAATTAAAAGGAACAAAATTATAAAAAGTATTTCTAAATTAAAATTGCATAAGCACACAAATATATATAAAGAAAAATGTCAGGGAAACCAATGTAACATTTCAAATAAAAAAATGTAAAAAGCACTAAAATTATTACACGAATCCAAAATGAAATTCTGTAACATACATACCATTTTACAAATACAGGTAAAATGATTTTTGCAAGTTACTTTGGCATATGTAATGTCACTCCAGTTAAATATGAAAATCTAGTTTCTGAGGCTCTATAAAGGTATTTTTTAAAACTAAAAGATAAATATTAGAATTACAATTAATGGGACTCCAAATAGCCAAAATCATCTCTTAGGAGAAAATGGAAGGATGGAGAAAACACTCATTAGGGATAAGAAAATACACACAATTTTTAAGATATATTATGACAGAACCCTAAGAGACTATAAAATTCAGTCAGAAAAAATTACAGAAAAAATTAATTCTGTATTTATTTACATATTATACAAATGCTTTATGAACTAAACCAGGAAAAAGCACTGATTTAAGAATGTACATGGGGGAAAAAGACTTCTAATTAGCCCTTGGTTGAATTATCTAAACTAGGAATTGGTAATTTTTTTTTCTGTAAAAAGTCAGATTGTAAATATTTTAGGCTTTGTGAGCTATATACAGCCTCTGTTCGAACTATTCAACCCTGTTACCATAGTGTTAAAAAAAAAAAGCAGTTTAGAGATAATATTTAATCAAATATTCATAGCCATGTTCCAGTAAAATTTTATTTATAAAAATAGGTAACTAACCAAATCAATAACATTTTTTTCCATGACGCAATGTAACTAATAAAATCACTACCATATGAACGACATGTAATTTCTTGAACAATAAATTCCAAAAACACGATCGGTTTCTAACACAACCTTCAGAAGTCATGCTTAATTTATTCTATACTGAAAGCATGAAAAATTTGGAGAGAAAATTTTCAAAGAAGCAGTTATTCATTCCTAAAAACAGAATTCCAATATATTGTGCAAAGCACTGGTCTTTCTGATCACAAGAAATATGCTATAGGAAATAAAATACCTTTTTTGAAGTATCTTCCTTCTCCAATTGAACCGAGGAGACCAGGTCTTGGTCTCTCAGGAAAATTAACTGTTAGGATAAAGTTTTTCCGTTATTAAATGGCATCTGAAAAATAACATTATCAGTTAAAATCTGAAAAACTGGCAGGGAGTGGTGGCTCCCACCTGCACTTTGGGAGGCCAAGGTGGGTGGATCACCTGAGGTCAGGAGTTCAAGACCATCCTGGTCAACAAGGCAAAACCCCGTTTCTACTAAAAATACAAAAATTAGCCGGGTGTGGTGGCACACACCTGTAATCTCAGTTACCCGGAAGGCTGAGGCAGGAGAATTGTTGAACCTGCAAGGGGAGAGGTTGCAGTGTGTTGAGATTGCCCCACCGCACTCCAACCTGGGTGACAGACAGAGACGCTGTCTCAAAAAACAAACAAAAACAAAACAAAACAAAAATAATAAAATTTGAAAAACTGAATACAGTAAATAAAACAAAACCTATTTAAATATGAATCGATCCAAAATATTCTTACCATGATCCTGGCACAGTTTCTGGAAAAGCAGAGTTGTCTTTTGTTTCTTTGCTTTATTGCCATAAGTATCTGATTAGAAAGAAACCAGGAAAGCAGACAAAAAATTATAGGATTGTTTCCTCTCCTTTAATAAACAAATATTTTATTCACATATAGAAAATGTTTTCAATAAATATGTATGTAATTTAGATTAAATAAGTATTATAGAATACGTCCCAAATCAGTAGTATCAGTAGAAAAGGATATTTTTATCTTAGTAAAAAATTGTTTAAAGTAATCCCAGCACTTTGGGAGGCTGAGGCAGGTGGATCACTTGAGCCCAGGAGTTTGAGGCCAACCTGAGCAACATGGCAAAACCCTGTCTCCATAAAAAACAGAAAAACTAGCCGGGCGCAGTTGGCTCATGCCTGCAATCCCAGCACTTTGGGAGGCTGAGGCAGGTGGATCACCTGAGTTCAGGAGCTTGAGACCAGCTTGGCCAACATGATGAAACCCCATCTCTACTAAAAATAATACAAAATTGGTTGGGTGTGGTGGCACATGCCAGTAGTCCCAGCTAATCAGGAGGCTGAGACAGAAGAACTGCTTGAACCCAAGAGGCAGAGGCTGCAGTGAGCCGGGATTACGTCACTGTACTCCAGCCTAGGCAAGACAGAGCGAGACTCCATCTCAAAACAAAAAAACAAAAAAATCCCACCAAAATTAGCCAGGTGTGGTGGTGTACACCTGTAGGCTGAGGTGGGATGATCACCTGAGCACAGGAGGTTGAAGTTCTGGTGAACCATGATCATGCCACTGTACTCCAGCTTGAGTGACAGAGTGAGACCCTGTCTCAAAAAAACCCAAAACAAACTGTTTAAAATATTCATCTTGTTTTCTTATCACACAAGTCAGTAATGTCAACTAGTGCAATAAGGTTTGATAAGAAACCAATATAGAGACTATTCTCTGAGTGGTAAGTGCACAAGGACTAAAATAGACCTTCAAAAATAAAACAGAAATTTCAGTAAGCAGTTTAGATACTTTGAAATTATTCCATCCTAATCAAACCTCTTTCTGAAGAAAGAGATGCAGAGACAAGTCTAGCCAATATGGTGAAACCCTGGTTCTACTAAAACTACAAAAGTAGCCTGGCATGGTGGCACGTGCCTGTATAGTCCCAGCTACTCGGGAGGCTGAGGCAGGAGAATCGCTTGAACCCGGGAGGTGGAGGTTGCAGTGAGCTAAGATTGTGCCGCTGCACTCTAGCCTGGGTGACAGTGAGACTCTGTCTCAAAGAAAAACGAAAAACAAAAAAACAAAACAAAACCAAAAAAAACAAAGAAATGCAAAGAGCATAAAGAAAAAACCCAACAGAAAGCTTCCAGGAAAAGAAACATAAATTGTGAATATACATAACTGTACTCAAATGAATCTTACAAGATGTTATTAGCAGGACCACTTTAAGAAATATATAAATTATCACCAGCAAAATGTCATACCTTTTTCATCTGGCAGATATCTAAAATCCATAGATTCACTAACTTCCTGATCAGAAGGTCTCCGCAACTGCATTTTTACTGTTACGGGTTCTGTGATAGCTTTGCAATATGGTGGAGTTTTGAAAACAATGGCTACTTGACGGTGTACATCAGCTTGTGAAAAGATGCCTTTTGCTTCCCAATCATTCAACACAAAACGAACTTCTATGTCATCTAGTAAATAAGAAACCAAAAAAATAATAATGGGAAAACAAAGTAACTGCATCTATTAATCTAAAATTTATTCTAAATTCAATGAAATAAATAAATACCTTTCTGAACTTTGTCGCAAAGTAGAAATATTTCATCTCCTCCTCTGACACTTCCACAATTCTTGTTTACACGACAAATCCTTAATTCTGCAGTATTTGGAGCACCTAAATAAAAAGGATTTTCAAAAATGATTTTCAAAAAAGGAAATCAAAAAAATGAATTGCTACCTTAGAAATATTTTATTCCTTTTTGCAGGGAAGAATTTGAGGAAAACCATATACAGAATAAAAGTTTTAGTGTATAAAGAACACTAAATACATTAATCATCTATATATCTGTCCACTTCCTTTCTAACTGCTTTACTTCAGACTTTGTGGCTTCATTTCTAGGTAATGACATATTCTTTAATTACATCTCCCTGCTTCTAAATTCTGATTCTGCCAGTCAATCCTATGCACTGTCACCAGATTAATCTTCATAAATCATGACCATATCTCTATGGCAATACAATTTTCCCTACGGCAATACATCTCCCTATGGCAATACAACTTTCATGCTTCCTATTATGTGGCCATAAGATTATTATAATTATTCCTGGCATTTAAAGCGCTACATGATAAGGATACTCTGATCTACCTTTATAGCCCTACATCTCTCTATCCTTCTACACATAAAACAGGTATGGCCATACACCATTGGTGGACATATATATAAGTCTATGTACACACACACACACATACACACACACACACACACACACACACACACAGTATTTTGGGGGAAAGTTTCATAATCTTTTAAAATGAGATATATCCATATCCTTTGATCCAGCATTTGCCATGCAGTGAGGCATGATTACACCACTGCACTCCAGCTTGGGTGACAGAGTGAGACCCTGTCTCCAAAAAAAAAAAAAAAAAACAATAAAAAAAACATATACAAGAATATGTATTGCAGTACAGTTTGCTAGGCCAAAAAGAAAAAATGAGAAAAGAAACAAACCAAATGTCTTATAAGAAGGTAATTAATAAAATTATGATATAACTACATAATAAAATATGCTGCTACTGAAAAGATTAAGGTGATTGAAAGGAAAATGTTCAAGATATATGGTAAGAAGAAAGTTTTTAAACAATCATCACTTATGATTTTAAGTTGCCACAATTGTACTGTGCAAAAATGATGACGACAATGTATTTATGTATATATAGGAAGAAAAAACTGGTAAAATATGCACCTAAGGATAGTGATTATCCCTGGAGGATGAGATTAGAGAAGATTTCCTTTCTGTTATATATTTCTGTAATGCCTGGAAGTTTTCCTATCATGAATATACTGTTTTTCTAATTACCAAAATACTTTTAAGACTTAAACCATTACAAAAAAACAAGACTACAAATGTAAGAAAATGAAGTACTTACGGTTATCATAAATTGGGTTCGAGACAACAGGAGGAAGAGCAGTCGTCAAATTACCATGTTCATCAGGGAGGAAAACTTGAAAACATAGTCTCACCACATTGAGGTCACAATCTTCAATATCATTCAGCTGTTTTTCAGGGACTGAATAGTAAAAAAAAAAAAAATTTAAGAATGTAATAGTCACATAGACTTAAAGTCCTGCTAGGTCCTCCTCCCTGCCCATTATAGCCAATAACCTTGAATAGAATCCAAATCTGTACGAATACAAATACGATAGTATACAAAGAATGCCTTGTATCATTCTTATCAAGTAGTCACTATCAAACAGTATTTGATAAATTATAGCCATGTTCAGGAAGTAACTATCCCCTCACCTGGGGATAATCCCAAGTTGACATTAATACCAAATCAAAGTTTTTTTAAAAAGTTGCAAGTTTGTACACAACAAAGAATGGCATTTACCCATTCATTCAACAAACATGTATTTGGTCCAGGTGTTGTATTAAGGACTCTGTAAATTATCTTCTAAATCTGTAAAAGAATTACTTTCATCCTCATTTTACAAATGAGGAACTGAGTTTAATTAGCTTTTTTGAGATGGAGGTCTCACTCTGTTGCCCAGGCTGGAATTACTTGCCCAAAGTTTCACAGTGGCAAAGTGGAAATGTGAACTCAAGTCATTAAATTTAGAGCCTATGCTTTTAAAAATTGAACTCATTAGAAAATTGTACATATGTTATACATAAAAATGACATAAACAAGAATATCTACTAAAATGTGGATCAACATTTTAAGGATGAAATACCAAGAAACAAAGTAAGATAGCTAGTTTCCATAAGAAATTTTATGTGTAAATTAGCTTTGCTTAAAAATTTTTTTAATTAAAAATTTTACAGTTCTATAAAACTAGAAAAGCTCATGACAGAATACAGTATAATAGTTTGTTAAAGTAATATTTGAACCAGAAATCCAGTTCCAAAAGAAAATATTGCCTTTTCAAATGCCATAAGCTAAAGCAATAACAGTTATATTTTTAAAAAGCATGACATGCACATTATTTACACAACAATTTTACTTTGCAAAGTATTAAATTTTGAAACACTAAATTTAGAAACACAGTTAAGCCCAAATTCCTTATTTTACAGGCAATAACTAATAAAAATGATAATGTATTTTGTACTGTTTTTATTTAATGACACTGACAGCCTACGTAGCTATCACAACATTTAGAAGTATCCCAGTATTAGCATTCTTAGCCTAACCTTTGAAAGAGTGCATTAAAAAAATCTGTACTCTGTACAACTGAAAGGTCAAAATGTTATGATACCAATGCTTGGGTTACAGCAGCATACTCTACTGGCACTACTGTGTAGGCGATACGAGAGCTACCTCTTCAAAACCCATTTTTATAGCATTATAAATGTAGCGTTCAAGATATTAGTGTCTATCAATTGCAAAGATGAGTAATCAATATGCAAAAAAGATAAATTTGTAGCTAGATGTTCCTGATAAGTTTAAAAACAAACCTATGTGAACTCTGTCAATGGATAAACCAACTGTGGTATAGTCCTACAATGGAATAAACTCAGCAATAACAGAGAACAAACTGGCCAGGCGTGGTGGCTCACGCCTGTATTCCCAGTACTTTGGGAGGCCGAGGTGGGCGGATCATGAGGTCAGGAGATGGAGAACATCCTGGCTAACATGGTGAAACCCCGCTTCTACTAAAAATACAAAAAATTAGCCGGGCATGGTGGAAGGCACCTATAATCCCAGCTACTTAGGAGGGTGAGGTAGGAGAATGGTGAACCCGGGAGGCAGAGTTTGTAGTGAGCCAAGATCGTGCCACTGCACTCCAGCCAGGGGGACAGAGCAATACTCCATCCCAAAAAAAAAGAAAAAGAAAAAAAGAACTATGGGGGGTATATACTCCCAAATGAATGTATCTCAAAACCATGCTGAGCAAAAGAAACCAGATACAAAACTATACTGTATGCTTCCATTTATATGCAGTTTTAGAAAAGATTAATCTCCAGTGACAGAAGGCAGATTAGTAATTGACTGAGGCAGAGGCAGGGTAGGGAAATGAGCGAGAAGGGGACCAAGGAAATTTTAGGGGGTAATGGAGATGTTCCACATCTTGATTGTGGTGTGGTTATGTGGCAGGATATATTCTGGTAGATTTTATTGCATCTCAATAAAAATTTATTTTAAATATTTTTAAATGTTACATAAAAGAAAAATAAATAAACTGGTCAATAAGCCAAAGTTTAAAAACATTTAGTCACATAATAGCTCTACTACAGGGAAGAAATTTTACCTACCTCTCAGAAAAAATCACTATTTATGAGATTTTGCTTTGAACCTTCTCAATGTGTGGAAATACAATTACTACTGCATCAGAATTACTTTCATCTCTGCATTTTTCTCAGGCAAGAACGACAGATACCCATTTTTACCCAATGCAAAATTCAGTGTAAGGCTGAAAACCCAGTTCAAAACTTCTTTTCTATAAAGCCTAACTTCACCCTCTGCAGTGGAAGGAATATTTCTCCTCTCTAAATCAGTGCAAGACTTGACCTATACCTTTTTTTTTTTGAGACAGAGTCTTGCTCTGTCGCCCAGGCTGGAGTGCAGTGGCACGATCTCGGCTCACTGTAAGCTCCACCTCCTCGGTTCACACCATTCTCCTGCCTCAGCCTCTCGAGTAGCTGGGACTACAGGTGCCCACCACCATGCCCGGCTAATTTTATTTTATTTTTTTTGTATTTTTAGTAGACGGGGTTTCACTGTGTTAGCCAGGATGGTCTCGATCTCCTGACCTCGTGATCTGCCCGCCTCGGCCTCCCAAAGTGCTGGGATTACAGGAGTGAGCCACCGCGTTTGGACGACCTATACCTTCCTTATGCACTTAAAAGTTTTAAAATCTTACATGATAATCATTTATGTATGCCTCTTCTATCTTATTAGACAAAGTTTCAAATGAAGTCAGAAGGGGTGTCTGATGTATCTCCACTGGGCATCGAACATAGTGGTTTACAAACATTCGATATTTATTATACATTTCCTTAATTAACATAAATGACCGAAGAATTACTTAAAGGCCTATCAAATAATCAAACATTTAGATATTTTTTATAAATTACTGAAGAAAGCATAAAGTAAAAGTTAATAAAAAAGAAGTTCTACTTTTGGTAATGGCAGATGATAATCCGTAAACTGGGACCAATTCAACCATAAGAAAGTGGACAAAATATGAAACAAAATTTCTCTAATGACATCAGACAGTTAACAAGGTCATAAAAAATCATGGGACCAAGACAGGAGAGAAGAAAACCCACAGTTCAGAATGAGAGGCCACTTTTATCTAAATATAGCCTGACAATTTTCTAAGAGATGGTTAAGAAGATTGAGATGAACTCTCAATAAACTATGGGGGAAAATAAAGGAGTTAAGAGTCTGCCAAGGATGTGGGATCTGATAAATACCTAAGGCTTTGGGGGATTTGAGGTCTGGAAGAGCTATACCCTAGGAGTAAGGGTGAACTGGAAACATACCAGATTTCAGGGATGAAAGCCCATCTTCAAATAACCTAAATCATTCACTGATTTTAGGTGATCTGGGATTGCTAGTGTACTTGGCCACTAGCCAGAAGAAAATTTTCTGCAGGGAGATAATATTGTAGGCCTAAAATCTTTACACTTTTTCACAGAAAATGACTGGTATTTTATCTTAGATAATCAGACATATGTGGAGGCAAAATAAAATGTTTTTTTTTTTTTAAAAAGAAAGCAACAGGCAATAAAAACATACCACAAAATATCCAAATAATGAAGTTTTCAGAAACATAATTTAAAGTAACTATACTTAATATATTCAAGGAATTAAGATTGAGAGTTTACTGGAGATCTTGAAACTGAAAAAAAGGAATCAAATTCTAGAAGTGAAAAATATAATAAATTGAGATGAAGAATACGATCAAATTTATCAAAAGTTTTATAGAAAATATGTTGTGTCTTGTCTTTTTATACCCCAAGGATTAAAATGTTTACCAACATAGTCTACCATAAATTTTTAAAGTGTTGATTCACTTTAAAGCCTTTAATCCATCTTCAGCTGATATTTATACATGATGTGAGGTAGCGAATCCAACTTAATAACTATTTTTTTCAAGCTTCTTTTCTCAAACATTTCCTCCTTTCCTCTTGATATGACATGCCACCTCTGTCATACATTAAAGTTGCATATTTCCTTAGCTCTGTTTCTGGGCTCTCAATTCTTTTTCTTTTTTCAATAATTATACATTTTTATCTTATAAAAATTGGGTGAATATGTAGATTTAAATTGACAAAAATGTGTATTGAACAGTTCTGTCTTTTATAGCTTAAAAGAAAGATTTTGGACGAAAATGAAATATCTCTTCTTGAAATGATTTATTTCTATTTTATAATACTTTTGAGCACTCTTGCAACTTCAGAAGATCTTTTATATTTTTAATTTCAAATCTGCTTATACAAACAGTAAGTCTTCACTTAATGTCTTCTAGGATGATGTCTATAGGTTCTTGGAAATCACAACTTCAAGTGAAACAACACTGTAATAAAACCAATTTTACCATAGGCTAATCAATATAAATAAGAGTTAAGTTTCTACGGCAGACTTCTGGTCACAAAAACATCACTAAATTTATAAGTAAAGACCAAAACACTTGTAATATTAAATATTGAAATAAATCTGAGCTATACATACATTTAAGAAAGATTAATAAAAACAAGTTAAGATAATGATTGACCCAATTATTCCAGTTCAGGGTCACAGGTGATTGGAGTCTCTTCGGGGCTCTCAATTCTACTCTAATTAGTCAATCTGTCTATTCTTACCCCAATATGACACTGCCTTAATTAGTATTAATACTTCTCTCCGATGAGGTCAATTTCTCCTCACTGTTCTTTTTCTATATTCTGTTCCTGTTTAGAATTACCATATTTAATATGGAATTGCATTGAATCTATTTATCAAGTGGGGGAAAATGACTTTTTTCTTTTTTTGAGACAAGAGTCTTACTCTTCACCCAGGCTGGAGTGCAGTGGCATGATCTTGGCTCACTGCAACCTCCACCTCCCGGGTTCAAGTGATTCTCC